AACTATTGAAAAAGTGGGAAATGTCAAACATTGTCCAATAGTGTCGAAATAACTAACAAATCCACCAATTACGTACATGCATATGCTGCTTCCCCAACACAATCATCAGAGAATCGTTTCTAGACGAAACATGTCGATGTAGCATTGCTGCTTCCTCTATACTGTCATCTGAGAGTCGTTAGTAGACGAAACAAGTCGAAGTGATATTCGCTTTCGATCTTCGGGCGTGTGCGAATAGGGACGATGCAATTGCGTAACATTCTGCACACTCACCGCCGTATTCAGAGCCACACGCCCCCAACGAGTGATTCACATTCATTGATACGCCCCTTAATTCGGTCTTCGTCATTTAAATGCAAACTAGCATCCCACCGCTTTTGGTTCTTGGGTTACACTTGCTGGTTGAAATTCTGCTGATCGACATTTTTGAAGGAACACCAAAAAAACATGAAATTACACTATTTTCTAGGGATACCTTAAAGTTCAATAATTCGATTAACGATTAATCGTAAAGATTTTTCCAGCTATCCATGACGTGAAACAGGATCATAAATTCGCCAAAAAAATGTGTCAAGCGTCTCTTTGCATAAAGACTAACGGGAAAAACTAAAAATAGGAGGAGCTTTAGCTGGGCGAGACTCTTGCGAGTACCCAATCATTAAACCGAAGAATATGAGATTGTCCGGTCCAGGTACCTACACGTCATCATCATCTTCCAAAGGTTTTAAGCCTGTACTACCATCGGCCCTTCTCAGGGCCATCAAAATTTTCCAAAAAAGTTAAATTTCTGAACATGTCCCAACTAACCAGCGCACTTCTGTCGATTCGACCTTTTGTCCCTCTAAGTTCAATTAGACCTTTATTCTCTCAAAGTTCAATTCGAACTTTTATCCCTTCGACCGTTTTTCCATCCGACATGTTGTCCTTCGACCTTTTCTCATAGTTTCGTCTCATGTCCTATACAATCCTTATGGGCCATGGGTCATGTATGCGTATAACGGCAGTATAGGTTACAGACAAGGCAGTCCTTGAGTAAAACATTCCCTTGTGCAGTGGTTGGCTCGGTATGGTCTACAGGCAAACGAATGCCGCCTGCACTCATGTATACACATCCACATGACGGATTATGAATATTTCAATAATGGGAAAATTAAGCAACTTCATGCAGAAAATTAAATGCAAAAGGCGTAATACCCCGCGCGCCGGTCCTCAACAACCGCAGTCCGTTGCCGGTGGCGCGGTGAGGTTTTCACTTGACGGTGCTACCAAGAAACAGGCAGCAAAAAAAAAAACCGTGCAAGCCAACCGTCCGCACGAGAAAACACTAAAATTTGATATCAGTATGGAATGCAAAAATATGTCGACAAGAAACTGCGGAGCTTATGCTTTGGGGAATGAATAATTCCGAGAAGAATGTATAGCAATCAGTTGCTTGATACTGTGGCTGTTCTGTTGGTCTGGGGTAAGTTTTACGATTGCCAAATTTGCGCTTGTTGTATTGCATCGCTGATGCCCATGCTCTAAGATTTTCAAAATATTGCATTTACCGTGGATATTTCAGCTGTAAAAATACAAACTAAAAAAAATCGCCCATTCTCGATTAGTTATGATAGATGCATTCTGTCCAACAAGCAGCTATTATGCATACACGCGGTCTGTGACACAGATGTGAGGTGTTGAAGTTTTTTCCTACATCATTATTATATTTCACGAGAAAGAAAGAGAAAAACAAAGCATTATGGTTAAGTGGTTGGATTAAGCGGAAATGCATGAGAGCAAATATGCGGGTTGAATATGAATTAAAATACCATTTTTCCGTTTTAAATGCTTGTTCTAGAGCTGCTCACAACGATGTGCATGGTTTTGCGACCGGTGATGAGATTTTAATAATTATTTCGTTTGTTTTAAGTATGTCAGTTTGTAGCCATTTGTTGTTTTTTCCTTGATGAATCTACAGCTGTTCTTAATAACGCTTTGAAAACGTGTACCAATGAACTACCTAAACAAAAGTTTGTTTGGTACAATTTAGATCTTTTGCGTTTTAAACGGAAAAGGGACAAATGATACAAAAAGTTTTATAGATCAACTAATGACAAGCATTGGAATAGGTTCACAATCGTGCGTAATAAGTATTCACAATCGATAAAGAAAACTCGTTGTGAATATGTTCAAAGGAAGATTGATCAGCATCAAAACAACAGCAAAGAGTTATGGAAAATTTTGAAATCTTTATTAAAACCTAGTAATTGCAAACCGCAGCCCATAACAGTCAGAACAAGTAATTGCATCTTGGTAAAAAGTGATCAGAAAACGAGGCGTTTTCTTGAAGGGAAAAAGTGTTTTCCCTAACAAAATCGCCGAATATTGATACCGAGCACGTAATCCTACGTCAGATCTATGGTCGTGTGTGGGATACAACCTCTTACTTTTTTAATGTTTGGCATATTTGCTAATCAGGCTAAGGCAGCGTAGATGAACCAGCGTCTGGTTGAAAATCTCCTTAACAAAGACAACTAACCAACCAACCAACCAACCAACCAGGCAAGTCGTCTCATCTCTGCGCGATCCATGGCCACACGCCGCCAGCCTCGTAGTTTGCGCTTTGAACTTGGTTGATCCACCATGCCCGCTGCGTGCCTCTCTTCTTTTTCCTGTAAGGTCGCTGTCGAGAACCATTTTCGCCCGGCATTCATACATCGTGCCCAACCTACCGTAGTCGCCCAACCCACCGTTCCAATTTTTTCAATGTGGACGATGGATGGTTCTCCCAGCAGCTGGTGCAATTCGTGGTTCATTCGCCTCCTCCACGTTCCGTCATCCATCTGCACTCCACCGTAGATGGTACGCAACACCTTCCGTTCGACAACACTAAGGTCGCGTTGGTTCTCCACGAGCATAGTCCAGGTCTCGTGGCCGTAGAGGACCACCGGTCTAATCAGCGTCTTGTAGATAGTCAACTTCGTGTGGCGGCGAATTTTATCCAACCGGAGCGTCCTCCGGAGTCCAAAGTAGGCACGATTTTCTGCCATAATGCGTCATTGAATTTCTCTGCTGGTATCATTTCCGGCGGTCACCAGTGAGCCCAAATACACGAACTCGTCAACCACCTCGATGTCATCACCGTCAATCTGAACTCGGGGTGGAAGGCTAACATTGACTTTCCTAGAACCTTTTCATCTCATGTATTTCATCTTCGATGCGTTGATGGCAAGTCCAATCCGTCTAGCTTCAGCCTTCAGTCTGATGTACGTTTCCGCCATCGTCTCAAAGTTCCGTGCCAAAATGTCGATGTCATCGGCGAAGTCAATAAGCTGCATGGACTTCCTGAAGATCGTGCCACTTGTGTCACCTTCCATCACCTTGCCGTAAACCGCAAACAACGCACATCACTCGATCCATCGTCGCCTTGACCGATTGCGTCAGTTTTATTTTTCCGGTAATCCGTACTCGTGCATAATCTGTCATAGCTGATCTCGATCGATTGTGTCGATTTGCAATCGATGAACAAATGATGCGTCGGCACGTTGAATTTGCAGCATTTCTACAGAACCTGCCGAATCGCTTTTTTGGTTCGTGGTAGCGCGGGCACCCATAAGTCCCGCCTGGTATTGCCCCACGAACTATATTGCAAATGGTGACAGGCGGCGGCATAGAATTTGGGAGAGTACCGCGCGGTAGTTGCAGCAATCCAGCTTGTCGCCCTTTTTTATAGATTTGGTATACGAAACCTTCCATCCACTCCTCTGGTAATATCTCCTCCTCCCAAATCTTGGCAATTACCCAGTGCAGCGCTCAAGCCCGTGCTGCATTCTTCTTCTCTACTAACAGTTTGCATTCGCCGTTAAACCAGTCATGTCTTCGGTCCGGAATCACAGTACCTAGTGCCGCTGCAGCAGTAGTACCTATGGCGGAGTGGATGTTCCTCCAGCCTCCAGATGTCCCTTCAATATAATCCAACTCACTGAATTGTTGCAAAATTGTTAAATAGTTCGTTACAATAATATACCGTATGCGTGATCATGTTTGCAACATTGAGCAATGTCAAAATTAAAAATAATTCTCAAGAATTTGGTTTTGGAGTTTTTTTTTTTATTTATTCAAAGGGGGGTCTCAGAGTCTTAAACTATGATAATCATCGATCGAGTTTCCACTTGCTGCAATTAAGGCCTCCACACGCATCTGGAATGCACGGCAGGTTCTAATAATGTAGTCTGGATCCATTTCTCTTCAGGTACGGGTCAATGTTTATCTTAGGCTTGCTATACTCGGGTGGCGTTTTGAAAGGGTGATAGGTAATAAACTGAATAACTACTGTAGTTAGAAACGGCACAATGAAATATTTCAGTAGCATAGCGCTTCTCGCTATGTTTCGCTCTTCCTCCGCATTGACAGCTAGAAATGTCATGTTCAATTTGAATAAAAACACAAAGTAAAAAGGCTGAAAGGGAGTGCAAGCGATTTTTCTTCTATCCGCGAGAAGTTCGAGTTTTTCCCTGTTGTAGTTCCGGATTTGTTTTATTTCATACGGTCTGGACCGTGCTGCATTGCGTCCGTCGGAATCGTTGCTGGATGCACCCCAGATTGTGCGAATTGCCCCTGGAAAGAGAACTTACCTGCAAGGTGTTCTTACCTGGTGCCATCGTCCGTTCTGTTCGTCTCCTTCGCCAAAGTTCCATTGTCCTCGCCGGTTCTGCATCTGAAAAGGAACTAAAAAAGGAAAGCTGACCCGTCCCGTTGAAGCCAGCGCCGGTGAGTCACCCATACCCCAACATTTTGGTGTCGTGACCAGGATTCCTGGTTTTCCCGTTCTCAACCACGTGATATCAACGACATAACCTCATTGGATCGATTGAGCCGCTGCATACCCCTCTGGAAGTTACTGCTGGTTCCAGAATATAAATATACAAGGCCTCTTTTCAAGAGGTACAAGGTGAGTACCTCTCCAACCTTCTTACCTCCAGTTTTGTGGTGCTTCTTTGGTCTCTTTTCGACCATTTCAGTCAAACTGTCTGCATAGTGTCGACGATATTGAGGAACAGCTCGACATGCCCGACAAAAAGCGCATGAAAATAAAGGAAGCCAAACGACGGAACGCCATCGATGGCTTCAAGCGCATGGACTTGTTCCTCACCAACTACATTCCTGAACAACACCAGCACGAAGTTGCACTTCGCTTGGAACGTGTGGAGAAAATATAGGAAGTGTTCGAGACCAGACAGGACGAGTACGAAGAAATGGATGACGAGGAAGAATTCGTAAAGAAGAACCTGGAGTTGCGTGCCCAAGTGGAGCAGCTGTATTTCCGTGTGAAAGCTGGGCTTGCTACGAAGTTGCCACCTTCTCCCGTTCCTGTTGTTTCTGGACCTTCCACTGCACCACCCGTTACGCCTACTCTCGCCAACGTGAAGTTACCAACCCCATCGCTCCCCGAGTTCGATGGTGATTTTAATACCTGGTTGACTTTCCACGATACTTTCTTGTCGATGATTCACTCGTCGACAGAAATTTCCCAGGTACAGAAATTTCACTACCTCCGGGCTGCTTTGAAGGGTGAAACAGCCAATTTGATACAGTCGGTAACAATAACGGCCAACAACTACGCCGTAGCATGGCAGACGTTGGTCAACCGATACTCCAACAAGGCCATCCTCCGTAAGAAACATATTCGGGCCCTACTCAAGCATCCCAAGATTCCAAGCAACAACGTTGATGCCCTTCACAAGATCGTGGATGAGTTCCAACGCCACACTAAGGTTCTGGAACAGCTTGGTGAACCAGTGGATCAGTTTAGCTCTATTCTCATCGAATTGCTTGAGGATAAACTGGATGATGCGTCGCTCACTGCCTGGGAGGAATCAGTCGCCGTTGACGAACATCCCACCTACGACAAGATGGTCGATTTTCTGCAGAAAAGTGCCCGAATTCTGAAGACGATTGGAAGACGTTTGTGGCGAATCGTGTCGCCGAAATCCAAACCCTCTCTCATGGATCGCAATGACAGCATATTTCCGGGAACGAAAACCCTGCTGATATGATCTCGCGAGGAGTCTCCGCCGAAGACTTGATCACCAGTGAGCTATGGAAATATGGACCCAGGTGGCTGGGTGAAGAATAATCAAAGTGGCCTGCCTGGACAACAAGTTCACCGACGAAGAATTGGAGCTGAAGAAGAATTTGATCTTGACTACCCAAGTGCTCACATCAAACCCGCTATTCGAAACATTTTCATCGTTCCAGACCCTGCTTGGCACAGTTGGATATTGCCTTCGTTTCTGCCACAATGCTCGCAACAAAAAGCAGCGACATTCCAGTAGGATTCTTTCCGTTGCCTTTCCGTTGATAGTTCAGGCTGGATCGTTCCCCGAAGACCTGCAGCGTTTAAAGAAATGACAGATGGTCACGAACAAATCTTCTCTTCGCCTACTGAGCCCGTTCATCGACGCTGATGGCTTGATCCGTGTGGGTGGCCGGTTGCGGCTGTCCGATGCACCGTATAACGTAAAACACCAGATTTTCATCCCCGGTTTCCACCCCTTTACACATCTTCTTTTGAAGCACCATCACCGCAAGTTTGTCCATGGTGGAATTGAGATGACCCTGTCCGTCGTCCGTGATCAATTCTGGCCGCTGAATGGCCGGAAAGCAGTTCAAAGTGTCATACGAAAGTGCTACGAGTGCAGCAGAGCAAATCCGCAACCCATCCAGCAACCGATTGGTCAACTTCCGATCGCCCGTGTTACCGCCAACGAAGCCTTCGCCTGCACCGGCGTTGATTATTGTGGTCCCATTTTCCTCAAGCCAACACATCGCAAAGCAGCTGCCCGCAAATCCTACATTTGCATTTTCGTTTGTATGAGCACAAAGGCGGTCCACCTGGAGCTCGTGAGTGACCTGAGTACAGCCGCATTCCTGATGGCACTTGATCGGTTCGTTTGGAGGAGGAATAAGCCCCAGCACTTGTATTCAGACAACGGTACAAACTTCATCGGGGCGAAAAATGAATTGCACGCCCTGTACACTATGCTCCAACCCGGTCCCGACAACAACAAGATCGTCAAACGCCTTGCCGAAGACAGCATCCAGTGGCACTTGATCCCTCCTCGTGCTCCTAACTTCGGTGGCCTCTGGGAGGCGGCAGTGAAGGTTGCCAAAACTCACCTCGTTCGTCAACTCGGCTCTTCTTTACTGTCCTTCGAAGAGACGTCCACGGTGCTGATTAAAATCGAAGGGTGCATGAACTCTCGTCCGCTGTTGCCGCTTTCGAGCGACCCGAATGATCTTGCCGCCCTCACCCCAGCGCATTTCTTGGTGAGAAATATGATCCGCCCTCTTCCTGAAGCAGACATCCGGAATGTTCCCTTCAACCGGCTTAGCCAGTACCAAAAGCTTCAGAAGCACTCGCAAGTTTTTTGGCACCGTTGGCGAAATGAATATTTGAAGGAGTTGAACCTACAGTACCGGACCAACCCGAAGCGTTACCAGCTCAGCATCGGTGACGTCGTCATCGTGAAAGATGATTCTCTTCCTCCTGCCCGCTGGCCACTGGCCCGCATCCTTGAGCTTCACCCCGGAGCTGACGGAGTTACCCGAGTGGTTAGCCTTCGAACCTCAACTGGAATTCTGAAGAGGGCAGTCTGCAAAATTTGCCCTTTGGAGTGTGCCTTAGAAGAATAAGATTTGCAATGAATTTGTAAGCAACAAAACATTTTTTTTTAATTAGTAAATTAACTTTTGATTTAGTCTAATTTGTTTCGCAAATAATTTGCGAAGGTGGCCGATATTATGATAGGTAATAAACTGAATAACTACTGTAGAAACGGCACAATGAAATATGTCAGTAGCATAGCGCTAGCGCTTCGCGGGTTTCGCTCTTCCTCCGCATTGACAGCTAGAAAGTCATGTTCAATTTGAATAAAAACACAAAGTAAAAAGGCTGAAAGGGAGTGCAAGCGATTTTTCTTCTATCCGCGAGAAGTTCGAGTTTTTCCCTGTTGTAGTTCCGGATTTGTTTTATTTCATACGGTCTGGACCGTGCTGCATTGCGTCCGTCGGAATCGTTGCTGGATGCACCCCAGATTGTGCGAATTGCCCCTGGAAAGAGAACTTACCTGCGAGGTGTCCTTACCATTGTCCTCGCCGGTTCTGCATCTGAAAAGGAACTAAAAAAGGAAAGCTGACCCGTCCCGTTGAAGCCCTTCCCGTATAGCCAGCGCCGGTAAGTCACCCATACCCCAACAAAGGGCCTTGGCCTTCATGACGCGCCATATTGAGTAATCCAGCGGATTAAGATCGGGGCTGGATCGCGGCCACATATCCTTCGCCCAGAACGGAAGTTGTTCCTGCAACCACTTCTGAGTGCGGTTAGAGGTGTGGCACGAAGCCATCTTGTTAAAATACAACATTTGGCTTTGGACCGTACTGTTCTTTGATCCACGGAAGAACATACTTACTTAAAATCCTGATGTAGACCTCCGTGTTGATCTTGTCGCCTTCTGGAATGAACACCGGGTCCATTTGTTTTGCCATCGGAAGCCACCAATCCAAACACCATAACGCTAGCAGGATGCTTGGTCAGATACACGTTCTTGTGCTCGTCGGTCACGTCTTTTACCGGAAGAGAACTAGTATACCGGTCGGTTCTGGAATTTGATACGGGATCGACGGTAAACATGCTCTCGTCGGTGAACAGGATTACCGGATTTTTCGCTTAAGGAAGTTCAAGATTTTGTTGCATCGTTCGACTCGTAGCTCCCGGATGCGGTTGGTAATCATGTGAGTTTTTTTCCGTGCCCTTGACTTCGCCCCGCAATCTTCCTTTACGATCTTCCGTGCCGTAAAGTCACTGATCCCGTGTTCCTTTGCCGTTTTCTTTATTGAACGCACTGGATTCACCCGAATCTTCCTTTTGATAGCAGCGATAACCCTCGGAACCCGAGCTGACCTCGGACGACCTGTGGCCACCTTCGCGGATAGTTTTCCTTTCTTTTCTCGGTCTAAAACCCTTTTGACGGTCCACCGGGACACTCCCACGGCGATTGAAATGTCTTTTTGCGACATTTGCACGTGGGACACATCACGAATACGCTGCCACTTCGTCATGGTGTAACTGTCAAACTAAGTAAATCATTTACTACACCACAGGCGCCAATGTTATTAATGATTATTATTAAACTGCAACAACACCGCAACAATTTGTCAACATATCTGAACCATTATTACGTATTATCTATGGAATCCACTTGATCCGATGCCTTGAACAAGCATGGAATTAGTTGAGTATGTGCGTGCTTTAAACGACACTTGTTTCGTATCAAAATGTATTTTTTATACTATTTAAGGGATTTCTGAGCCACTGAAATAAAAAAGATATAAAAATTATGATGTTTTCTGTGTTGCTTGGGATGTCACCTTGAAGTATTGAGCAGCGTCGGTGGTTAGTGGTAAGCGTGCTTGGCTCTCACCCTAAAGGGGCTGGGTTTAATCCCAGTCGGCGTCGTCGGGATTTTCTGAGGCATATAATCTCTGAACAAGCCTATATTCGAAAGGGAAGTAAAGCCGTTGGTCCCCGATCCATAAATTGATGGGTCGATAGGTTGAACTGTAACCAACGGGTTCCAATCGGTACGTGATGAGCCCAAAAATAATAATAAACACTGTTTTTTTTTGTTGTCTCCAACTTTTCTTTCAAATAAATGGATACCCATGGTCGTTTACCTAACACAGGCGAGTGTTGTCGTCGACCGAGTATGAGATACGTTTCCAATGCTAACCATGTAACCGTGGAATCTTCGGGTCTCAGGCTCAGGTAATGGTTAGGTTACCGTCCATGGACGTGAGAGTGGTTCAAATATATATATATATATATATTTTATACCCTGAATAGTGGGCAGATCATATCAAGTTATTATTTAATGTGTAAAGTGTAGCATGTCACTATCAATATGAAAATCAACCCATACTAACACCCCAAACTAAATTAATAGTTTTGTTTATAAAAGAGGGCGGTGGATGCCCAATTTAAATATTTACTATAAATTTCGGTTACACATTCTAGATAGAGTTACTAACAAAAGTGGCGTCGGAACCATTCTCAAAATAAATTAACCCAAAAGTAGTGAGGAAATATTAACCGTCGACATCAGTGAGCTACGGAATCTGCTGAAACGGCGAGAGACTGTCGATGGGGATCCTCCAAACT